AATCAATCAATCAATCAATCAATCAATCAATCAATCAACAATTACTTCCAAACACTGTCGCAATTAAACCACCCTAACAAAAACTGAACCAAAACCATTGACCTCCTCAAACATTTTAATTTTATATCAGAATAGCCTTACCTCTTTGGATTTTCTTTTCTTTGTTCTCACTTGTTTGGTTCTGTTATTCTTTTTCACCTTGTTATTATATGCCTACTTTTGTCCTGTTGTGCTCTAAATGCACACGGTAATACATCAAATCTGGCTTCAATTGATGCCGGTGAGGGCACTTCATAACTGAGATCTGCATCAGGCTGCAACAAGGAAGAACCGTTACAGAACGGGTTACTACTCCAAAATAACTGTGAAATGATTTATACATTATCTATTAATTTGGGCAATGTGTTATCAGGGTGTGGAATGTAGTAGCTCTAACTCCAGAGTGGGTATATTTGGAGAAACAAAACAGAGGGTTTGCTTTTCCATCTGTTATCCAACCACCTAACTAATCAGATTACATTCAGGCAGCCACTCACAGCACAAGAATTTAATGGTTTCTTCTCTTTAAAGACCACAGACATCACAAACTTTAATTTAGCTGTAATTCACATACACCAGTAGTTTCAGTATTTCTTTTACCCAAGTAGGACACAAAGACTTCCAAATCTTCACATGAGGGCTATTGAAGGGCAAGTTCACCCTGCACAGTAACTAGGAAATCACACAGATGGGGCCAGCCAGAGATAGTAAAGGTAAGCTAGTCCGTTGCCAGCAATTCTATTATAACAACTCCTTGTCTGCTGTCTCTTCAGGGCTGAGGTTTTCCGGCTGTGTTGACAACCTACCATCTGCTGTACAGCCAAGCTAAATTTCACATACCGTCCCCAGTCTGTACTTACTGTGGGATATTGAAGCATTAAGGTTGCTATATAACTGAAGCACTATCACTGCTTGGAAACTCTTACCTTAAAAGGACATTGTTTTTGGAGATAAAAGTATAACCTTCACTCAGTCACAGTGGGTTCACTTGTGTACTTATGAGGATAGCCTTCATGCCTAATCTTCATTGAGTTGTAGTGTGTGTGTTGTGGGATGTTAAGCTGTGGGAGACATTACAACTCAAGTACTAACACTGTATTCTATACGCATATAAGGGAATGGGCACTGTAGTTGAAAAGTTAGCATCTTCTCCTATGCACTTATAACTTGCACTCAGATTAAAACGTGAGCACAGTTTTATATAAATGTACTAAATAAGGAATATAACCTTCAATTTCAGTAGAAGTAGGTGTGTGTGTTCACTCAATTCATTAGCAATGTGTGTGTTCATTTAATTACAGAATGTACTACTTTGGAATTAGGGAGTTGTGCTTGGGGGACATATCTTTGGGAAAGTATTGATAATTACCAGCTGCATCCTGCAAGCCTATCCTTGTGAAAGTGCTGGTACTTTCCAGCTGTATGCTAAGGAATGTGTAAGGAGGCGGGAAGAAATAGTATAAAATACACAGTGTTAGTGATGTGACTTCAGATCATCTGCTGTTGCTGCTTGCTGTATGATCCTGGATGCGCATCCGTAATAAAGGTACAGTGCACTTTAATGGTTGGTGTGTGACTGAATATTCTTTCCATCATCTGGACCCGAGGAGAAGTGTGAGACTTCGACATTACTTAGCTGTCAGAAATGAAGTTTGGAACTAAAGATGATCAGCTATGATAGTTTCACTTACACTCACGAAGGGTGGCATATATGTGAGACTATGACACTAAGAAAACATGACAAGTTATTTTAATAAAATATTTTATTTAATAATACATGAAGAAAATCTCTGACAACCACCACCTGAAATTCAGTCAAACAAGGTAGAGAACATTGTAAAGACAAGTTTGAGAGACTCCAAAGTGGAACAGCTTTAGAGTACACTACATGTAAGACACAATAACCCTCGGAACAATGCATGGTACCCAGTGTTTAAGTTGTTTTAAGTTTCAGTTGTGCCACAATAACTACTAATAAATCGCTGCCAATCCCAAAGGATATGTCAGAATATGGATACAATTAGTTCTGTTGGGTCACAATATGAAACCTTGGTATCTTGAAACAAAGTGTAAATAATTGCAATTAATTAGACTTGTTCTATACATACAGAAACACTATGACAGTGAAAATTTATTATTTTGGCAGATTTGGTGTCCGCACTCACCTGTTCAGTTCATTTCTATTTTGGATTTCTCCTGGAGTCCGTGTTGTCTTGTTTTGGTCTTGCAGATCGGGCAAATTGCTGTGAATTTATAGTTAAGGTCTGTAGAGAACATTTTTATTAAAAAAAAGGTCTGGGTTTACTCTCACAGCATTTTCTTTTTCAGGCAGGGACATTACATTTCTTTTAAATGAGGGAGGCTGATTAAAGCTCCTGTGGTCACCTGGTCTCACTGCTAAATTCTAACAGCCATAAGTATATTTTTCATATCAACTGCCTTTCTGTCTTTGAATGTAATAGACCAGTTGCTTGAATCCAAACGTTGTATACAGCAGCGTTATGCCAGAGGGGTACTCTTCTGTGAGGAAGAGAAGACAGGCGCTGATGCCGAGGTTAAAAGAGGCTAAGGCGAGAGGAGATGTCGCATTTCTGCGATACGATAAACTGGTGACCAGACCGCAGAACCAAGACTTCGAACCAAGGAACAGCCGAGACAAGGACAGTATGATGGGGCCGCGGGACCCTCTCATGTCTGAAGAAGCTTACTGATATCTGCGATGGCACATGAGCTGTGGAACCATCAACACCCAGCATGACTAATGGACGATATGAGGCCAGTGATTTACTACAGAATTTAATAGATTTTGAGGGACGGGATCTGGAACTGAACACATTTGCAGACACTGAAATGCACTATCATGAAACGGACGAAGGCTTTGACCCTGAAGAAAACTTTTTCAAGAACCTTGAAAATAACTGCAAATATTACACGGATGAGCAGTTTAACAGCAATGTCAAGACTGAAAACAAATTATCATTAATTCACTTTAATAGCAGAAGTCTGTACGCTAACTTTCAGAGTATAAAGCATTATCTTTGTAGTCTTACACATGCTTTTAATATAATTGCTATTACTGAAACCTGGATTAATAATGTAAGGGGAGTGGATTTTGACCTTGACGGGTACGACTTGGTATGCACAAACAGAGAGAATAAGATGGGAGGTGGTGTGGCCTTGTACATAGATAATAACTTCTGTTATGAAAAAGTCGAGAGCATGTCAAGGACTGTTGATAACTTGCTTGTTGATAACTTGCTAGTGTGTGACTGTAGAAATTTCAGTGGAAAAAAAAAAGGCAATAGTAAGCTGTATTTATAGAGCACCTGGAGCCAGCATAGAAAAATTTAATGACTGGATAGAGGAGAACTATTTGACAATAAGTCATAAATTAATGTTCATATGTGGTGACTTCAACATTGACTTGTTAAACCCTAACAAGCACACAGGAAC